GATTGCTTTGCCTTTTCTCAATTAATCCTAGTGTTCCCTGATTGGATCATGTGGAGAGCCGGTGTCCTGACCCAGAACTGAGTGGAGATCACTGGAGTTGCAGCACCTCCAAGATTGATTTCCAGCTTCTAGTGTAGTGATCTCCAAACTGAGAGCCGGGGGCTGAATGCGGCCCTTTGCTTGATTTTATCTGGCCCTTGGGGCACTATTTCATCCACTAATACCAACAACGTGTCCGAATTTCTTCCAATGACACCAACAATGGGGCACAATGACACCCTTGATGGGGCACAATTTCTCCCAATGACACCAACGATGTGGCACAGTTCCTCCCAAAGGCACAAACGATGGGCACAATTACACCAGTGATGGGGCACAATTCCTCCCACTGACACTAACGATGGGGGACCATTGCTCCCAATGACACCAACAATGGGCAGAATGAAACCATTGATGGGACACAGTTCCTTCTAATGACATCAACGATGGGGCACAGTTTCTCCAAATGTCACCAACAATGAGAACAATGACACCAATGATGGGGCAATATTTCTTCCACAGACACCAATGATGTAAAGCTACACCTCCCACTGAAATCAACGATGGGGCACTAATCCCCCCACTGATGCCAATGATGGGGTGATATTCCTCCCACTGACACCAAAGACAAGGCACTGTTTACTCCCACTGATGCTGAGACATTTTCTACTCCCAATGGCTACAGTCCTGTCTGAAGGACAGTAAACTGGACCTTTGTTTAGAAAGTTTGGAGACCCCTGTTATCCCAAGGTACGGTATATTCATAGGTACATTGTTTCAAGCCAGACCAATGTAACTATATATTAATATTCATATCTGGAATTCTTTAATGGAGCTCCAGATAACAGAAAAAATCCCGACAAAGGTTCTAAGTCTTCTCCACTGCATCCTAAACTAATAAACTAAAAAAAAATTTTTGAATGGACATATACTTTAACAAGAAAATCAGCCTCGTACATGGGCTGCGGAAGATAAATCCACCGCTATGATGTAGGGTTACCATTATGCAATGGCGGCCAAATCACAAAGCCCATGCTGCCAGTTTTGTACCAACAACATCCACAAGAAAAGAACTGGCGGTGCTTAAACAAGGGTGCTTCCTCACTCTTGGTAAGGCTCCTCCCAATGCTTAAGGCTTGTTGAATGGTGGGGTGGCTGGAAGGTAGTCTATGTGATTCCTTTCTATTCACTATCACCTTCTGCTTTCCCAATGCCCAATGTCAGTCTCAGCTGGAAGAGTGAGGAAGCAGCTGTTTGAATTTATCATAAGGGTTCTCTAAAAGAATAAAACAGGCAATAATGTTAGTTTTGTGCCTCTGCCCCAGGATGGTGACCTATGCATTCATATCCAGGTATCCATGGCAGATATTCCAAAATTTAGCTGATGCCAGTAACAGGCCGGTTGTTCAGTACGCGTTGCACATCCTCGCTGTTCTTTGTAATGCCTTATTGAATAAGCCTGAATGTCTTATTTCTTGAAATCTAATAATTTTATGTTTCACATTCAGCATGATTTATCTGATTCCCCAACGTTTCCCTGCCTGCAGTAATGTCAATGAATTGCGGGAATAAGTAGGCAGACTTCAGGCAATACTCCCTGGGAAATCAATGCAAGTCTCTCCAGCTACACACCAGTAAGCTATTCCACCCTCAGACTTCATGGAGCATCAGACGGCCTTCTCTAGGTGTCCTGAGAACAAGTCCAGCAGATGGAAAAAGTACCTAAAAGGTTCACCATGGAAGAATAGCATTACCTAGAATTTGTTTTTGGAAAGTCCTCCGCAACAACCAAGTAACCTGACTCATGTAACATTGCTTGTTTTGTGACACATGAAGGAAACGTATTCCTTTGTATTTTTCTTTTGTGTTCCAATTTTTCCCAATAGAAGCGTCGATGAGAACAATATTTGAATTCAACGATCAAGCAAGTGATGGCACCATTCATATTGAGTATTCATAATGTTTTCTGGCAAATCCAATGCTGTCTTCATATAACATTTCTTTAGGACTCTACTAGAATTCCCAGTTCCAACCAAATGGTGAGGTCATTGCAAAGCCAAGTAGTGGTCACCTTACACCAATGGATTATCCGTCATGTAGAACAGATAACTGGGAGAGTCCAGCTATAGAAGAGAAACACCTTGTTATGGCTTTGGGGAAAGAGTGCAGACAAAAAGGTCTACAGCAAACCACTTCACTGTGGAAGAGTTCTACAAATGACTTAACACTGACCAATCAAAAATACCACTTTTTGGTGGTGTTGACCTTTAATAACAATAAAAAGGAGGGCAGGTCCTAACTGCAGACCTGTCAGTATTGTTCACTCTTAATAAAAACTAAGCAACTTAGTTCCACTAACATGGGTTCCATCACCAACAGCCTGGTGATGGGACCGATGTGGGCTAATTGTTCTGGAGTCCATTGTAATGTGCATCAACTCTGCTCTGAGATCACCAACTCCACCTACCGGCTTCATAAGAAAGGTGTAGGAAAAAAAAAAAAAGACTCTATAGCATGGTTGCTCAACCGGTGGCCCTCCAGCTGTTGTGGAACTACAGTCCCATCATGCCTTTGGGAGTCATTCTTGTAACTATCAGCCTTGCAATGCTTTATGGGATTCGTAGTTCAGAAACACTTGGAGGGCCACAGGTTGAGCACCCATGCTCTATAGCTTGGTTCTGTAATGGTTGCACATTATGACTGAAGAAACCTCACGCAAGAAGCCACAATGCCAATTTGTGTATGTACAGTAGAAGCACTTGGAAGGTATTCAGAATATTTTACAAACCATGAGACATCTGCTGACAGATAGAAAAACCATATTGTGCCACTTACCTAATGTGACCTCAGACTGCATGGGCATGGTCAGTGCCGGGTGCTTGACCTCACAGCTGAAGAGCGCTTCATTGTCTACTTGTGGGTTTAGGGTCCAAGTGAGCATAGCTCGGACCTCCACTGTCCCATCACTCATTGGAAGATGCATTTGGTGGAAGAAATAAGTAGGGTCTGTACTGTGGACCCAACGTGGGAACTCCAGGCTGACTACTGTCTCTGGAATGGCCTCAGTCACTGGGCTGGACATGGGCCCTTGGTCAGAGGTGCGTCCACGGAATGGCATCTCTGTGAAAGAACTTGGTCCTCGTTCCTCCGTGTCCAAAAGTAAAAGTGATTTTTGCATTTTTGTATCATCCATGTCACGGTTTAGAAGGTTACGGGAGCCCCGGTTATTCATCAGTCCAGCAGCGGCAGGTGGCGGCTCCAACATGGGAATGACTTCTATTAATTCCCCATCCCGCTTGAAGTAAACCTAAAAAACACAAATCAGAACTATTAGTTTTCTTTTTAACTTGTGTTTCAATAACCTACATACAACTCTACATAAAGTCACCACTTGATAGAGGTGGCAACAGGCTTCGGGCCCTAAACAGAAAAACACGTTCAAGTTTTATGTCCAAAATCAAGTCAAGTTTTGTTTATTTGTACTCATGTGCATAACGTAAACCCATCACAGTAGAAGTAAATATTCACATTAGTACATGCCCTCTGAGAGCTTACAATCCGGGGTTCCTATCTCACATACATACTAGGGCCAATTTGGACTGAAGCCTACCAACCTATTAATCTACCAACACAAGGGAGGTAACCCGCACAACCCCAGAATGAGTATGCAAACTCCATGCAGGTAGTGTCATGACCAAAAGTTAAATCAAGGATCCCAGTGCTGCAAGGCAGAAGTGCTAACCACTTACCCACTGTGCTGCCAGCTAACCTGGAATTGGCATACAAGTCACGTTTTCTGTCATTCCTGGTTACCTTCTGGTTCCATTTCAGTGACCATGTACTTTAACTTTAAAGTGGACCTTCACCCCAAACCCAATGTGTGCGCACCTGGCTCCAGCCCCATTCCACTCCCACAACTGGAATTTTTGTAACCGCTTTTTTTTTAATTTTTTGTGCTTCAGGGAAGCCCTTGCTCCTTTCTCGCCTAGGCGAGAATGAGGGTGTACACATGTGTGCTGATCTACTGTGGAGCTCTGCCAGGCTTCAGAACCCGGCAGAGACTTTTGAGTTCCACTCCATATAGATGCAAGGATGGCACAGCCTTGATGTCAGAGGACATCTCTTTCAGGTTTCTCAACCAGGGTTCCTCCAGAGGTTGCTAGGGGTTCTTTGAGCAATAAGCAATTTTTGCCTCTCAGGTAAGTCCCCACTGACACCATTGATCTTTTTAGCTATCTGTAAGAATGAGGTTGTACACATGTGTGCTGATCTACTGTGGAGCTCTGCCAGGCTTCAGAACCCAGCAGAGACTTTTGGGTTCCCCTCCACATACATGCAAGGATGGCACAGCCTTGAAGGTCAGAGGACATCTCTTTCAGGTTTCTCAACCAGGGTTCCTCCAGAGGTTGCCAGGAGTTCCTTGAGCAATGAGCAATTTTTTGCCTCTCAGGTAAGTCCCCACTGACACCATTGATCTTTTTAGCTATCTGTAAGGGGTTAATTCTTCCCAATGACCACAAGTGTAAGGAGCATTCTTACCTCTGACTATCACACTAATGTATCATGAATTGTAGATACAGCTATTATTAGCCGGGGTTCCCTGAGACCGAAAAGTTATGTCAAGGGTTCCTCTGCAGTGAAAAGGTTGAGAAAGGCTGATCAAAAGTAACCATTATTTAGTACATAAGTTAATGGATATGTGTAGCCCATCCACCCCTCCCCAAAAAAAAAAAAGAAGAAGCATCATCCACCTCTGTCAGCAACCTTGTGTGAGGGTAGATTTAGGCATTGTCCGGACTGGAAGGGGGGGGGAGTGTCCAGACTGGAAGGGGGGTGAAAGTGTCCAGACTGGAAGGGGGGGGTGAAAGTGTCCAGACTGGAAGGGGGGTGAAAGTGTCCAGACTGGAAGGGGGGTGAAAGTTTCCAGACTGGAAGGGGGGTGAAAGTGTCCAGACTGGAAGGGGGGTGAAAGTGTCCGGACTGGAAGGGGGGTGAAAGTATCCGGACTGGAAGGGGGTGAAAGTATCCGGACTGGAAGGGGGGGAAAGTATCCGGACTGGAAGGGGGGGAAGTATCCGGACTGGAAGGGGGGGAAAGTATCCGGACTGGAAGGGGGGGAAAGTATCCGGACTGGAAGGGGGGGAAGTATCCGGACTGGAAGGGGGGGAAAGTATCCGGACTGGAAGGGGGGGGGAAAGTATCCGGACTGGAAGGGGGGGGAAAGTATCCGGACTGGAAGGGGGGGGAAGTATCCGGACTGGAAGGGGGGGAAGTATCCGGACTGGAAGGGGGGGGGGAAGTATCTGGACTGGAAGGGGGGAAAGTGTCCGGACTGGAAGTGGGGTGGAAGTGTCTGGACTGGAAGTGGTTAAAAGTCGCAGCATGTTGCAGTTTGGATTCATCTGTATCCATTCCGTTGCAAAATATTTACCGAAAAAAAAAACTAATTTGATCAAAAAAAACCCCCCCATAAAACAGTTTCAAAACTGAATAAACTGTCATAAAGTAACTTGCATTTTTTTTTTTGCTTCTTGAGCATACAACAGGTGTGGGAGGGGTGGCTACAGCTCCAATATCCGGAGGCCTTCCGGCCCCTGTGTCCTCAAACTGAATAAACTTTTGGAATTTTTAATTTTTAGGCAAGTTAAAATCTCTGCCGGCAGCTGGGTTAGTCAGGCTATATAAACATCTCGCGTATCTGTAGACTCGATCCTCGTTGAGGTGGAATAGAATATTATCCACTGTGTTCGGGAAATATTAATGACTACAAGTCTCTCTTAAGGAAGATTAGCCGACACCGTGCCAAAATACAATGTCGCATGACGTTCAAAGTGCTATCTTTCCTAAAGCAGAATCTTCGGGAGCCGCGAACTATAAGCAGCATGTCTTGGGAGCAGCAAATGAGGGGGAATTTGTTTAAAGTTGGCAATTTTCCTGGTGAAAATGCCAGATTATGAAGTGTCTGCCTTGCTTCTAGCTGTAGAAAAAAAAGACAATATTTGTATTTCAAGGGTTGAAAAATTCAGATGCACAAATTTATAGCGGAATATGAAAAGAGATATTGAACCAGCCGAAGGCAATGTTTTTGGAGTGTGGAAGGAACCTTGTAGACTAAGTGAGGGAATCTAAATGAGCATGCGTGGCTCCAGGCATATATTCTCAATGGTGGGAACCGAACCTAGGGCCCCAACACTGCAAGACCACCTGGGTCACCACCAACAAATCCAAACCTACAATGTGAAATGGACCCCAGAAACCCACAACTGGGTATCTCCGTCAGTAAGCTGCTTCTCAGGCTCTGGGACACGAGACCAGTGACTCTGGCTATTGTTACCGCAAGATCCAGACGACACCAGATTTGAAGTAAGTCAGAGGTAGACTAGTTTATTTGAACACAAATACAAGATATATACACTCAGGGGGACAGTCCCCCCTCCCTGCATAATGACAGGGCGGGGCAATCTATAATTAGTAACAAGAGACACACAGGTATTCAAACTTCACACCAGTAAACAGTCCCATCAGGAGGGAGGGCTGCTGGAGACATCCCTCCCCCCCCCACTAAGCTAATACACATACATCCCATAATAGTTTTCTCCCAAGCAAGACAAACAATAGAACAATGGGACTCAGCCACACAACAAAAAACAATCCACAATCTTGTTTCTGTCTGTGGACATCAGCTGTAGGTCGGACACAATCTTGTAGTGGGCCCAGATGTGGCCATAGTTTGGAGAACCTGGTCTAGATGAAAGTTTTTCTGGTTTTGTAATAGTCTTTTATAACAAATATTGAGAATATTTATAAAAGGAAAATGTATCCTCATAGATTTTGTATCCGTTGTGACTAAGTAGCTCCTGTAAATTAACAAGTTCTTTCTTTCTTGTAATGTAACGTTAATGAAGAGTAAGATTATCCCTGCCGCTGCAGTGAGGGTAACCCTGTGGCGGCTTACACCAGCACACCTTATAAATGTCGCCATACGACGCCTGTATAGAGCGTTCCAGGATCATCATCAGAAGAAAGGAACCACTGAGCTGTTTATTGGGGCATCCTTACTTCAAATAGGTTCACTTCTGTAGCTGAGGTTTATGCCAGATTTCTGCAGAGTGACTGGCAGCCCGGCCTTGTGCCAAAAACAACAAATAAACGAGTTTCAAACACCTGTCTCTTCTTGAACACCAGAGCTGAAGGGACTGCAAACTGGTTGACTGAATTAAATACACTTTTGAAGACCTTTGAACATTTTAAGATCACTCAAAATTGACCTTTGAGACCTTAGAGATCAACGTATTGCAGTGAAATTTACCACAATTTTCACAATGCTTCTGGGTAGGACTGAAGGCTCCTGTTCTGTGATTCGGTGCTGTGTAAATTCCCTCTAAAGCTCCGGTGTGTGTGGGTGAGTGAGGATACAATGAGTAGAGAGAGCTATGCATGAACTGGCTGAAATTCTGGGAGGCGGGGCAATGTTGGAGTCATATGAGAATTCAGCTATCCTGATATTGATTGGGCAGAGGGAACTGCTCACCCAATTATGGCTCATCATCTCGTAATGCAGGACAATTTCACCAGTCAAATGGTGGAAGCCCCGATCAGAAATAATGCTCTGCTGGACCTACTAATTACACACAACACAGAGATGATTGCTGAGGTGTAAGTAAGGGTCAATTTAGGAAACAGTGATCACAGACTAATTACATTTGCCATAAAATATAGGAAAAGAGAAATGAGGGTAGGACAAGAACACTACATTTCAAAAGAGCCAACTTTACTAAGCTGCGCTTCATACTACATGACATTAATCAAAGGGGATGTTAATACCCTCTCTTCCAGGGACCTGGGGAGAGGCAAGAATTATACTTCTTCTATTCCATGGACCTGGAAGGCGGGGCAATGTTAGAATCACAAGGGAATTCAATTACCCTGATATTGATTGGGCAGAGGGAACTGCTCACCCAATTATGGCTCATCATCTCGTAATGCAGGACAATTTCACGAGTCAAATGGTGGAAGCCCCAATCAGAAATAATGCTCTGCTGGACCTACTAATTACACATAACGCAGAGCTGATTGCTGAGGTGTAAGTAAGGGTCAATTTAGGAAACAGTGATCACAGACTAATTACATTTGCCATAAATTATAGGAAAAGAGAAATGAGGGTAGGAGAAAAACACTACATTTCAAAAGAGCCAACTTTACTAAGCTGCGCTCCATACTACATGACATTAATTGGGAGATGAGATTTATACTCTTTCTTTTCCAGGGACCTGGGGAGAGGCAAGAATTATACTTCTTCTATTCCATGGACCTATGGGGGTGAGTACTATACTTCTATCTCATTGACCTGGGGGGAGTAGTATAATAATTCTTCTATCCCAGAGATCGGGAGGAGGAGTGAGTGTAATGAGTCTCCCCCAGGGACCTGTATAATACTTTTATTCCAGGGATCTGTGGAGGGTGGGGTGCAGGTATAATATTCCAAGGACCCGAGGAGGTGAGTACAATACGTCTACTCCAGGGACATGGGGGTGTGTATAAAACTTTTTCTATTCCAGGTACCTAAGGAAGTGAGTATAATACGGTTCCAAGGACCTGGGGGGTAAGTATAATGCTTCTATCCCATGGACCTCAGGAGGCAAGTATAATACTTCCACTCCTGGGACCTGTGGAGGTGAGTATAGGTTGAGTATAAGACTTCGATTTCATAGACCTGGGGAGGTGAGCATAATACTTCTTCTATTCAAAGGACTAGTGAAGGTGAGCATAATATGTCCATACCAGGGACCTTGGGCGGTAAGTATAATGCTTCTATTCCACGGACTTGGATAGGTGAGTATAATATTTCTTCTATTCCACAGACCTGGGCTGTGGGGGCATGTCTAACAGGGATGTGGGGGGGGGGTGGTATAATACTTCTATTCCATGGACCTGGGGGTAGCCATAATACTTCTTCTATTCTATGGACCTGAAGGGGTGAGTATGACATGCCTATACCAGGGACCTGGTGGTAAGCATAATACTTCTTCTATTCCAAAGGACCATTCTTGATTCAAGTACACAAAGCAGTCAAGACAGAAACCCCCATCCGCCCACCTTTTCTGGGTTAGGGACTAAGAATATGTCCACCAGAGGGTCACTGGAGCTAGCAGCATTCCTGTGAGTAACATGCAGGCCACCATTATCACCCTTCCAAATCTTCTAGTGGCCTGGCTGTTATCCTGGACCTCTTGTTGCCATTCTTCATCCAAGTACACAGAGCAGTCAAGTCAGAAACCCCCATCCGCCCACCTGTTCTGGGTTAGGGACTAAGAGTATGTCCACTAGAGGGTCGCTCAAGCACTCAGCATTCCTGTTAATAGCATGGAGGCCACCACTGTCAACTTTCCAAAATGTCTAGTGGCCTAGCTGTTATCCTGGACCTCTTGTTGCCATTCTTGATCCAAGTACGCAGAGCAGTCAAGACAGAAATCCCCATCCGCCCACCTGTTCTGGGTTAGTGACTAAGAGTATGTCCACCAGAGCGTCGCTCAAGCACGCAGCATTCCTGTGAGTAATATGGAGGCCACCACTGTCACCCTTCCAAAACTTCTTAGTGGCCTGGCTGTTATCCTGGACCTCTTGTTGCCATTCTAGATCCAAGTACGCGGAGCAGTCAAGACAGAAACCCCCATCCGCCCACCTGTTTTGGGTTAGGGACTAAGAGTATGTCCACCAGAGGGTCGCTCAAGCAAGCAGCATTCCTGTGAGTAACATGGAGACCACTACTGTCACCTTTCCAAAACTTCTAGTGGCCTGGCTGTTATCCTGGACCTCTTGTTGCCATTCTTGATCCAAGTACACAGAGCAGTCAAGACAGAAATCCCCATCCGCCCACCTGTTCTGGGTTAGTGACTAAGAGTATGTCCATCAGAGAGTCACTCAAGCACGCAGCAATCCTTGGAACAACATGGAGGCCACCACTGTCACCCTTCCAAAACTTCTAGTGGCCTGGCTGTTATTCTGGACCTCTTGTTGCCATTCTTGATCCAAGTATGCAGAGCAGTCAAGACAGAAATCCCCATCCGCCCACCTGCTCTGGGTTAGGGACTAAGAGT